CAACCTCTTTAACTGGAATCAACACTTCGAAGAAACTAGTATCACCCACCAACAGCTCACAAAGTTCTCCTGCACCAGCACTATCTCAGTCCCGCATCTCCCTGTCCTGCCAAGCTTCAGAGCCTTCAGATCGCGGAAGTTTTGCCTCTGCATCTGCTTCAACCTCCCCAGATTCCGCATCTGATTCCTCTTCTTCTTCGACTTCCTTGTCCTCTTCTTATTCTTCCCTTTCCTCCTCATCTCGCCTGATTTACCGTCGGCGACATCACTACGTCCCTTCGGGTCCGGTAGCTGTCTTGTGCCCATCCAAACAGAGCTTGAGCTTGCCTGGCCTTCGACTTGATTCAGCCATTGAGCCTATTATCTCAGCTATAGAATCCAAATCTTCCAATCGGCCCAGCCGAGTTGATTCATCTGATGCCATAGATGTTGGGAAATCGGATAATTTGGCTTTTGGCAAGCAGGAGGCGGTTCCCACGACTGTAACCAAAAACCAGGACAAGAGAAAGGATGATGATGACGACGACGACGACGACGATTATGAAGAGTGTAGAAAGACTGGGTTTGAAGCCGCTGTCGGTCACAGAAAGCGAACACCTGGGACGAGATCACATAGACCCGGCCGACGGTTTTTTGAATTAAAAGATCAATCGGCATCACTTAGCTCCATAAAATCTGTTAAGGATAAAAACATTCTTTTAGATCCTAGTCGTCCCGCTTCTCGAACGGACAAGCTCTCAGATCGCCATTCCCATCATTTTAATCGTAACCATCATCATCATCAACTCTTAGACCCACCTACAATAGATCGTCTCCATAAAAGTAGTACAAGTAATCAAACGGCCCAGGTGACAACAAACTTACATGCTCCTAGGACTTATCACCTACAATCGCTGCCTACAGTAAATCCAAACTCTGGTGATGAAGCAGTTGCTAGTCAAAACAACCGATCAGTTACTAACGAAATTCCCAGAAATTTTACTGCACAAGAGGATAGATGTTCAAGCTCAGGAAGACAGAGGGTCTCCACAATTACTGTATCTGTGTCAGCAGGGAATGAGAAAGCAAAGGAGAAGAAAAAAAAGAGAAAAAGAAAACTCGAGGAAGAAAATCTAGACTTAGCCTCAGCATCCCAGTTACTTCGACCTAAACCAGCTTCGGTAGTGTTGACGGGTCTAGGAGTTGAGCCCCACTCTACTTCTGTTGGAGGTTTATCCAGAGCTCAGTTGTTCACAGGACTTGGTAGTAGGCGGAAAGAAGCCGATGGAGCATCTGAAGTTGAAGAGGATATAGAGGAAGAAGATTTATCCGATGATGAAGAAGCGGAGGCCAAATATATTAAAAGGGGGTCCAGACAGCGCAGCCGAAAACACAGACAACGTGAGAAATCGAAGAAGCGCAGCAAACAGTCAAATACAGCAACCATGAATGAGGTACGTTATATCCAGCAACAAGTTATCTAGTTATATTCTTAGGGCTTCATTCCTAAATTTGTATATAACTGCTAATCTGAAGAGGCTTTGCTCCTGCACCCTGACATTTTACTAGACACGAATACAAATTCACTGCTCTGAGAAGTCATCAACGTCAAGGTATTGTTATGAAGTGTTGCATTTTTACATTCAATAAGTGTATACATAGTTTTATGCCTTACCTCGGGTAATATTTTGTCGCTGATCGAGTATATATTCCCTTAAACATATAAGCCATTATAACTTGTTTAAATGTGTACTTTACATATTTAAATTCTCATGACTTGTTTTAATTCATTTTGATTCTATTTGTACTTTTTAAGTGCATGGAATCATCTATCATTATCAGAAAAAAGTTTGTCGAAACATGCCATGATTTGAATCGAATTTAAAAGCAAGCATCCTAGTAGTCCACAATACTGTTGGCTTCATCTCGGCGAAAATGTATAGGCATAGCTAGATATAGAATGGTTTGACTAATTATCATTCATATTTGTCATGCTACTTTTGACCGAGTCTATATGTTAGAGTCTATACGCAATATCGGTCCTAAATCAGAGTGATCAAAAAAGCCTAATGTCAGGTTCTGATAATCAAGGCTTGGGTCATTAAGCGTCCATCATATAATGGACAAAAGATCAGCCCGCTTTCACCCGAAACGAGGGTTGCAGTACAACGGGAATCAGCCGTTGTCTTCTGACGAGATCAACCTACAAATCTCTTCATGCACTTTCATAGGAAATGAAGGTACCCCCAATGATGTTTTATCAGGAGACTTATCGAAACTAATTACTCTTCGTATCTACGAACACTTTTTTTAGAGAATATTCTATCTTTGTATAGATTTACAAATTTAGCCTCTAACCTAAAGATAGTTTCGATTCTTCCATGGTTCGATGATAAGGCTTATATTCTATTTTGCATGTTATTTTTTGCTATTTGAATTGCTTCCTTTTTGCATTTTGATAGATTAAAAAAAATCGCAGTGCATAAATCCTTTTTATTTTGCCTTATTACTTAGTCGAATGGCTTCAAATTCTTGTTTTGTCTACTTTCCCGGATAAAATAATGTTTAAATGAAGAATCCGTCTTCAGTTGCATCAATCAATCAAGACGTATATCTTAACTCTCTATAGTAAATAACTTTTAAAGTGCATTCTTTTGTGTGAACCACACCTTTATCACTTCGCCACTTTCACTGGTCGATGCTAAGTTCATTTAGTTTACCCCTTGTAACTATGTATACGTTTGTATCTGTTTTTATGTCCGTTTTTCTGTTTGCAGTTTGCATTTATGCGTTTGTGCTTGCTGTTCTGATGCAAAGTATGATGTTCTGTCATCTACGGCAACGGCACCGGTACCCTCTGTCGATTCATTTACTTGCCTTATATTCTAGTCGGCTGCGAATAACAGCTTCTGTACGTGTCTGGGCGTCCATCCTTATCAATAAATCGCTGTCAGTATCTTCCTTAACTCTTGTCTCTGCTTTTTGGCTAAGCTATAAAAGTTCCTTCCTGTTTCGTACATATTCGTACACAAACAGGTTTTTCTTAATTGTGTCACGTATTTTACCCTATTCTGCCACTACATGTGAGGGATCCCTCTCCTTCACCTTATTTGTCCCTTATCACCATCACAAAGCCGTATTTCAACTCGTCAAACTTATTGATGGTCATTACTAAGACTATTTTGCAGTATATTCTGCCTGCTGAGTAAAACTTAGAGAATTTTTTATTGACCCAGCTATCTCTTTATTGGCCTTCTTCACCTCTACCCCGCTATAATACTTTTTGACGTCAGTGCATTTTAGATATTTTTTAATTTATTTTTGCCCTAAGTTTCCTTTAACCCTAGTAAAAATGCTCACTTTTCAATAGTATGACTATATGGCCTTATGTTTTTCCCAATCATTCCTTAATTCTGTAAATTTGGTTTAACATCGTTTATATATCTTCTTAATGCATACGGGGAACATAGAAACATTCCTCCACACAATCATTGCCAATATCATCATCTGCTACAGTAGCAGACTTTTTTATTGCTATAAATTCGTTTTTTAGACATTTTCACAATTACGGATGATACAATTAAATTTGACTTCTGTGGTATTTTAGTTAGGTACATCTTTTTAAGGCGAAATTACACACTCATATACATCTTATAACGCCGCTACCAAACCGAGCCTTATTATATCATGGTTTTAATATAAATGTCCTGTTAAGGACATGGCTCCAACAGGTCTTCACAATATAAATTTGGTGGCCATTATGGTAATTGTCACTTTCCAAGGTATCAGACGTGCAAGAGCTATTCGGATATTATGCCATGTTATAAGCCTCAAGCTAAACTTAACGAATGTGCTCCATAACCAATTTAAAATGCAGTCAATAAACATATCTTATCCTGTATATAGAACTAAATCTCTAATATATGCGAATAAAAGTTGGGTTTAAAGGATACCACATTCACACCAGGCTCGGGAAGAGGCTTTTTTTCATTTGCCTGATAATGGCGTGAACTACACCATGGACTCATTAATCTCAAAATGCACTCAACTTAGAAAACTATCAGTTACATAAATAGCTTCTTGCATCCAGCAATTAAAATATAAATTCTCGGATGTTTGTAAGATTAAATTTATTTAAATGAAATGATGAGAAGCTGGATTTCGATAGACCCCTTAATTGATTGCTGCAAATAATCATGCCTTTTGGAAATATGGAAATATTAAACCTAGTTTAGCGTGCGTCTCATTTACTTTGAACGGGCAGGTGAAAAAGATCATAGCTTGCAAAGAAATCCCATTAGAAGAATTAGAACTTGACTGGCCGTGGAAGTGAATTAATCATTACAATTGTGCATACACTTAGTTGTATTGATATTTTTCCTTTCTATATGGAGACGGTTCTCGATT